TGAGGGAACAGGGAGGAGTAGGAAGAAAAGGGAAAACTCACAGAAGTGCTGAAGCTCCTCTCTAACATACCTAAACAAACAGCAGATAGGAAAGCTTCTCCAATTTCCACTACAAACATGACATTTTAGAATACGGGTGGCATATTAGCTCAGTGGTTAGCACTGCTGCCTCACAGTGCCAGGGACCTGGGTTCAATTCCACCCTCGGCGACTGTCTGTGTGGAGTTTGCACATTCACGCCGTGTCTGCGTGGGTTTCCTCCGGGTGCTCCAGTTTCCTCCCACAGTCCAAAGATGTACAGGCTAAATTGCCCATAGTGTTCAGGGATGTGTAGATTAGGTGGGTTACAGCAGGATGGGTCTGGGGGGATGCTCTGAGGGTCGGTATGGATTTGTCGGGCCAAAGGGCCTGGTTCCACACCGTTGGGATTCTATGAAATGAAGATCTCTATGAAACTCTGAAATGTCAGATCTGTGAATCTTTGCTTGAAGCTGATCAAGATTCTGAACAAGGTTCTATGGAATATTCTTGAAAAGAAAACTTCCACAAGCCTCAGAAGCAAAGGATATGAAATATTGACCACAGTTTACAAACATGCAGTTGAAAGGGTTTGGAAATAAATTGTCATACACTGTAAGAGCAGACTTTCAAAAAAAAATGCAAGGAAAGAGCAATTTAGATGTATCATTACCATTATAAAACAGTCCAATAATCTTACTCAATGCAGAGGTAAGAACATATGCAGTGATTGGAGTTTCATGGCTCACCCACCTGCGATTTTATTGTTCTGTCCTTAAGCAGTTGAATTGCATTCAATCACTTTAATGGGCATTGCACTAAGCGAAGTGGAAAAACAGGATGGATAGTCTGCACATTACAGCTGATTTCAGTGGGCCTGGATAGGCATGGGGAAAGCATACATCAGTCTCCCTGCCTGTAATTAAGCTGTATGTCACAAAAGTTGAGACTACAGTTTGCATCTTATGGTTGCGGAGGGGGTGCCTGATCTTCTCTAAAGGGATATTGTTCAGGAGCTGGCATGACTGAAACAAACTCACCTTGTGGCCATGCCACACTGAAGGCAGGCAGGCAGGCTGGCTAAATTGTCAGACAACAGGTCTTCCCCACTGCATTGGAGAAGGTTCCAATTTTAGGAGCTGCAGGTCAACCAGATCTTCAGGCAGCTTCATCTCTCCCGGCACCACCAGGCAAGTGGGCACTGCCAGGACTTCATCACGAAGCACACAAAAAAAGTCTCATGGCTGCCATGATAGGAAATGCCTGGGAATTGTGGGTGGAGAGAGGGATGGATGGGCATATTCTGGGTTTAGAGCGCAGTTGGTACAGAAGGAAAGGCCAGGATGCACCAAATACATATAAAGCACGCCTAGTCGGATGTGTCCTCCTATTCAAATTTACCCAGAAAATGGGCTGCCCACACAAGTCGTATTGTAGTGTAATATGCAGAACACGAGGCTTGTATATAATTGACTGAGAATGATTCATTTAAATATGGCAGCTGATTGCACACTTTGCACATTAAGCTTAATTGCACATTAAGGGTTTAAGCTTAAGGCTAGGTGAGAAGGAGGTGAGCTATAGTCACTCGATAAATATTTTGTGCCCCTATTATCCCCTGCCAGGGGATAATAGGGGCATGAAAATGTCTGGTAGGGGCATGTAAAATTTCCCCTCCTCTAGCCCCTTATTTCCAATGGCTTTCTTTATCCTCACTGCTTGCTTATCTGGTCTTCAGTCTCAAAATTTTTACAGCCCAATTTGGAACCAACTGTCTGAACAGCTTCAGAAATTAAGTAAGCACTGTTCTTGTAGTGATTCTTTTCTGGGATGCAAGTGTAAATGTAACTTCTCCTCTTCTTCAAGTCGTGCCTGAGGCCTATTGCTGTGGTTTTCAAGCTGGCATCACTACCTTCGTTTCGCAAGAAAAATCAACAGCACTGATCACTATAACTTCTACATAACAAGGTGTAGAGCTGGATGAATACAGCAGGCCAAGCAGCATCAGAGGAGCAGGAAAGCGGATGTTTTGGGTCAAGACCCTTCTTCAGAAAGTCTCGACCCAAAACGTCAGCCTTCCTGCTCCTCTGATGCTGCTTGGTCTGCTGTGCTCATCCAGCTCTACACCTTGTTATCTCAGATTCTTCAGCATCGGCAGTTCCTACTATCACTATAACTTCTTACTTGTGTTTTTGGTAACGGATACTTGGAAATCTCATACAAGCTTATTTCGCAGCTCAGACGTGCAACTTGCACTTGCAGAAAACTATGTATGCACCCTGGCTCCAGCATTCTTCTGCCAGATTGTACATGGTTGTACAGTTTGATCCCAATTCTCAGCTCATTAACATACCCAGACGGTAAAGCAAAACAGCTCGTAACAGAATAATGCAACACATACCTGCCTCAGCTCACCTGCTGCTGAAACAATGACATATATTAATATTATATTTAATCTCAGCTACTCTAATGCTGTCCTAGCCAGTCTCATATCTGCTCTTCTACATAAACTTGAATGCATTGAAACTCTGTAATGTACATCCTAACTCACACCAAACCCTGTTCATTGTTATCCTTGTGTTTGCTGATGTATATTCATTGCTGGTCTGCCCCCAGTACGAAAATTGTTATTTTCCTTTTCAAGTTATCATCATATCTCTCGCTATCTTTGTAAGTTCAGCTTTACAATCATTTCTGTCCTTCTTCTCTACCTCCACTTGTGGCCTCTTGGGCATTTTTGGACTGTAACTGTACCATCATTGATAGTTGTGACTTCAGCTACCAGGACCTTCAACTCTAGAATTCCCTCCCTAGCCCCTTGGCCTCTCTATCTCTCTTTCACACAATCTCTTTTAAGAAGCTCCTCAAAGTCTAATCATTTTGTCAAGCTATTGAGCATCTGTTCCAATATGATCCTTTATACGACACAATACTCTGCGACACAAAGTCCTGGAAGATGTTTATGGTGGACAGCTCTAAGATAGATAGTTATACTCTTGGATCTTTGTTAAAGCACTGTTCATTTATTCTGTGTTAACTCTATACATAACAGTTCAGGTCTATGCTGTTGCTCCTTCTCTTGAATCTTTTCATTATTATGTGACCCCAAAGTCATTGACTTTGCCTCTGATACAGATGCTGAGGAATGAACCCTTTACTTTACGGGTGGTCATTTTTTGCTTCATAAATTTCCCGTGGAGCACTTGAGACATTTCCCTCTTGGAAATGCTCTGTATAACTAAAGTTTTGTAGCTGTTGCTGTAAAAAGGATATGGCTCATAGACAATCAGTGGGTACTTGGGCAAGACAAGTGGATAGACAGTTGTAAGTCTCCTCTTGAACAGTGTCTCTAGAAGAGCCAGATTTCTCCAAGGAGTTCAAAATATTGTGAAAATAGGGACATGAGAGGGGAAAGGGAACTTAAGCTACTCAGTAAAGAAAAAGCCCATTGAATGATTTGACTTTAAATTAGCAGTTCTACAGCAGAGAGCAGCACCAAGCTATTTATTTCAGTTACTCAGTCCATGCCAATCACAGATCTCATGCTTCATCCCATTAGACTGATAAATGGACACTCTAACTTCAAATAATGTAGATTTTGTTAATGTTGATCTTGCTTCACGCACATCCTGTGCAGTGTAACCTGTATGCCTCAAACTGTCCGAGATTTTTTTTTAACCCTATGATCTGTATGGTCTTGATTACTATGATCTGCCTGCACTGCTCTCACACACAGTTTTTCACTGTACTACATGACAATACATCAATCAATCAATAATTTCTCAGTTCAGATGTGAGGTTACATCGGAAGGCCAGTGGCAGAGGGCACCAATGGCATTCTGTTGACCCCAATCTCTAACAAACAATGCAATGTTAACTGTACCTGATTTATGTCTGCAAACTAGAATAATTAAATGTTAAATTGCTGCATAAAAGTTGAAAACTGTAAACTGGGCATGTGAAAAACCTATTAGGTTGGCAGAGAGAATATGTTGACTGATTAGTTAACATAGTAAGATTTGACTGTTAATGACAAATAATATAACAATTAAGAAGCAGGTATTTTATCACTTAATTTCAAAGCATATTGGGATACATTCCTGAAACTTTAGTAGCCTCATCAGAATGCTATTAAGGGAAGCACTTTGTTAATTAGACAAAATTTGCATCCCAAATTGCTTGCTATCTGCAATTCAAAAGTTACCTTCGAGAAACATGGAGGGAGGAAAGATTACTTGATGATCCAGTGTTCATTCGGGAAAAAATGCAATTCAAACTGCCTTAAATTATGTATTTACCTTTGACATATGATATTAAATGGATGGATTCTCATTGATTCAAAGTCCTGAGATTTCCCCTTTTTTTAACCCTGTCTTTCTTTACAGAGTTTATTTTACTCCCTCTCAAGAGATTGCACGGTTACAGATTGGCAGTGGTTAGGAGTAGAGAGGGATAGTGTCAGTGAGTAGAGGAAGTGAATTGGAAGTGTTTCATCGTGCTGTTTAGGTTTTCAGGAGTGAGTGGCAGTTTTGACAGACCAACCAATCTTCTCTTACCTGTCATTTTCAAATGAAGCAGTCATCAAAACAGTCAAAACCACATTTCAACCCGGGTATTAGGTACAGAATTATAGCATTTTCATCTGATTCAGACCAGTGGCATTGTGGCAGTTCTGTTATTATACTCAGCAACTATTCAGCTCATTTTGACATTTGTCATTGCAAAATACCATCAATATTGTCAACGTCACAGACTCTGCATTTGCAAAGAGAAAGGTTGTACAGCTATGGAGAAACAGCATGGAAATAGAACAATTGGACAACTTTGTAAAAGAGGTAGTGCAGACACAAGAGTCGATAGAGTTTCTTTTGCAAAATTCTGCGCCTGATAAATCAACGTCCTAATAGATGTACCTTTCCAACAATGAAATTAGGTTTGTGCTATGAAGTGCTTAGATAAAGAGTGAATTTACATTAGTATACCTTCAATTCTTCCAAGTCTGGTCTCTCCATACTGACAACAGCAGCCAGAAGTTGATCTTCTAAGCCATCTCTTGTAACAGTAAAGTTAATGAGTGTACACTGGGCTTGCATCTCAGGCTGGTAATGAGGGTTTGCCAACTTAGTGTGAAGAATGAGTCGGAAGCTGGAATTGTACTCGCACTCCTTGTCTCCAATTTTAATATATCTGTAGGTTAGAGAAGATTTCCCTTTAGTTTTATAAATATCAGCACAATTGCATTTCATATCACTGAAATAATTTGAAAGATGAACAATGTTATTTGACATAAGAGGCAGCATTTTCAATTTGAGATGAGGTCCATGACTTCCGAAACGCTTCAGGGTCCTAGCTTCATATTGTGCCAGTATCCAAGAAGCAACATGATGGTAAGATCGTAAGGGTTCAAATGATATTTAAAAGATTACACTTCCGAAAATTACCAAGGTTCTTTAGATAATGTTTTTTCAAATCCACAACCACTACCATCTAGAAGGACAAGGGCAGCAGATACATGGGAACGTCAGAAGCTGCAAGTTCGCAGCCCACTCACCACACTGACTTGGAAATCTATCATTGTTCCTTCAGGAACTTTCTCCCCAACAATCTTGCTAGGCTACCAACAGCAAGTGGTCCAAGGGATGTTACACAGGGGGTGGTTTATTTGTGGAATGGGTTGCCAGAGGACATGGTGGAGACTGGCACAATTACAACAGTTAAAAGACATTTGGTCAGGTACATGAATAGGAAAGGTTTAGAGGGATATTGGCCAAACACAGGCAAATGGGACTAGTTTAGTTTGGGAAACCTGATCGACATGGACGAGTTGGACCAAAGGGCCTGTTTCCCTGCTGTATGACTCTATGACCCGGTGGCACATTCAGAGCTAGGAACATCCTGGAATGTTTCCATGGGACAAGGCCTCTTCAAAAGGCAAGTGGCACCTTTGTTTGGGTTTGCCATTCACTGAGGAGATTGATACAACAAGGAATTCAGAAGGCCAGCAGTGGTGTAAGGCAAGCATTCGAGGGCAGCTCCAAAGTTCTCAAGTGCCTCTCTTGAAACTTTAACTGAAGCAGTGGTAGAGAGCTGATGGAAGAAATCACCCCAGAGATTAAGGAAAAAAGACCTGAGCAGAGTTGGTGATGGAAGTCTGAACAGCATCAGAAAATGTTTAATGTAATTTAAGGTCTGAAAAGGTGAGAAGCAAGCAACACCAGGTGACAGGTCACCAACTTTGTGAGAGTGAGTAGACGGAATATCCAGAGTTTTGTGTATCTTTGTTACTGCAGGTGGCTGACTCCGTCGCTGAGACATGAGTCACCCACACATATGGGTTGTAAATGAGGAGGAGACATTACCAAGGAACTCAACAACTCATGCTAACGTCATGCTGGGGTGAATGAGGGTGGACAACTGACTCATAAAATCATTGTCTCCTCATTCTTCAGAAGAGGTCTGACAAACAGTCATGAGATGTCTTGTACGGAGATTGATGATGTGGACGTGCACAATCCTGACACCAAGTAGGAGACAGCACTGGATATTGCAAAGGAGCCACTGTGATTGGATTTGGGAGATGAGCATATAAAGACAGTGGGCAGCAGCGCCATATTTTTCAATAAAGAATGTGAGGGAAACTCCTGCCAATTATTTGCTGCATCTTTCCAATACCTGAGATCTATGGGTAGGATAAAGTGGCCAACATCTTCAATAGACGTGCAGCACTTCTGAGAGAAGACAGTGGTGCAGGTCTTATACACATGAAAGTGAGGCTCAAAACATCGAGTGCTGTGTTGCTGATAGTGCAGAGATTGTAGAGATCATTCACGTTAAACAAAAAACTTGAAATTCCCAGAAAATCCGTGATCTCACAATAAGATTTCAGATTTTAAGGTTTTTATTGCAACAAACAACTAAAATCGATGTCAACTGAGTTTCGCTTAGGTGTCAATGAATACTATAAACTGCAGATATGATAACTCTCACCAAAGTATTAACACAACCAGTACATCCCTGCTGCATTAATATACTTCACAGCACACCCTACAAAGGATTTCAATATTGATAGGAAATGGGAGTTACAATAAGACACATTCTGGCTGGTTCATATTGCATAAATCACCTGACCACTCAAGGCAATAGAGTAACTTTTTCACCATGTCAATAGACTGTTCATTGCAAGTTCATGTTATTAGATGGCCCGCATGGAGCACGTCTCTGTATTGATGTCTGGAGGATGCGCAAGTGCCAGGAGTCACTTCTTCAGACGATAACCTCTAATGCACCTCCCTCCCTCCTTCGCCCAATTAAACATGGGATTTGGATATTGATGGATTGATTGATTTATTATTGTGTCTACCAAAATACAGTGAAAAGCTTTGTTTACAAATGGTACAGGCAGATCACAGCAAGCAAAGGATGTACAGATCAAAAAGATTTAGATGCATACAGGTTACATTGCTTGAGGCTAGAGTCCATTCAACAGTCTGATAATGGCCAGAAAGAAGCTGTTCCTGAACCTGTTTGTGCGTGTGTTCAGGCTTCTGTATCTTCTGCCTGACGGAAGAGGTTGTAAAAGATCATTACCGGGGTGGGATGGGTCTTTGGTGATGTTGGCCGCCTTTCTGCAGCAGTGAACCGTGTAAATAGAGTCCATGGATGGAAGGCTGGCTTCTGTGATGGTCTGGGCTGTGCTCACCACCTTCTGTAGTTTCTTACGATCCCGGGCAGAGCAGTTGCCATACCAGGCCATTATGTACCTGGACAGTGTGCTTTCAATGTTGCATCTGTAGAAGTTGGTGAGGGACCTTACGGACACGCCAAATTTCCTGAGCCGCCTGAGGAAGAGGTGGCGTTGTTGCACTTTCTTGACCGTTGCATTTACCTGGGAAGTCCAGGACAGGTCGTTGGTTATCGTCACTCCAAGGAACTTGATGCTCTTCACTCTCTCAACCTCGGTTCTGTTGATGTCAATGGGTCATGTTCTCCTCCTTTCTTTCTGAAGTCAATGATCAGTTCTTTAGTTTTGCTGACATTGAAAGACAGATTGTTTTCATTTCATTTTACCATGTCACCAAGCCCTCTAGCTTCCTTCTGTATTTTGACTCGTCATTGTGAGATATCCGTCCCACTACGGTGGTGTCTTCAGTGAACTTGCAGATGGTGTTCGTTCAGAATTTGGCAACACAGTTGAAGGTGTGCAGGGAGTACAGTAGCAGGCTGAGGATGCATCCTTGGGGGGGTTCCAATGTTGAGTGTTACTGTGGAGGAGATGCAGTTACCTATCTTCACTGATTGCCGCCTATGGGTCAGAAAGGTGAGGATCCAGTTGCGGAGGGCGGGGCCGAGACCAAGGTCATGGCATTTTGAGATCAGTCTAGAACGGATAATGGTGTTGAAGGCGGAGCTGTAGTCAACAGCCTGGGATGAGGGCAGGCCTAGGAACACAGCATCCTCTGTGAAACTGTTATGTCGGTAGGCAAACTGTCGGGGATCGAGGCAGGTTGGAACACTGGAGTTGATGTGGGCCATGACCAGCCTCTCAAGCACTTGAAGTCAGAGCTATTGGGCGGTGGACATTAGGGCACACCGCAGATGTTTTCTTGGGTACTGGGATAATGGTGGTCTTCTTGAAGCAGGTGGGGATTTCAGCTTGTAAGAGGGGGAGGTTGAAGATGTCAGTGAATACCTCCGCCAATGATCCACACAGGATCTGAGTGCTCAGCCTGGGGACACCATCCGGGCCCATCACTTTCCTTGGTTACAGAGGTACAGGTGACTCTTGACGGATAAAGGAAACACGACAGCCACTCAGGAAACAAGTGCACATTGCGTCACAGAGTGGCTGCACATTTCAGTAAGTGCAAGCCTTTGCTGTGGAGGAATGTGACTAAAACAAGAACAGAAAACACTGGGAAAACTCAGCAGGTCTGGCAGCATCTGCGGAGAGAAAGCAGAGTTAACGCTTCGGGTCCAGTGATCCCTCTTCAGAACTGATTGTAGTGGGCAAAATGTTGGTATGTATGCTGAAGTTGGGGTGGGGAGGGGGAAGGTAATGGAGTGAACGATAGGTGGAGATGGAGTCCAGAGACAGAGAGAACAATGGTTGGACAGACAAAAGAATGGATAAAGTTAGCCTGAGGGAATCAACAGCTGCTCATGGGGGCCAATAATAGCTGACAATGGATGGGTTTTGGTAGCAGCCAATGTGATAACAAGGCCTGGCATATGAGGGTTGGGGTAAGGAGATGGGAGGTGGTGCTCAGGCTCTAAAATTGTTGAACTCGACATTGAGAGCTGAAGGCTGTAGGGTTCCTAAGCAGAAAATGTGGCACTGTTCTTTCAGCCTCGCTGGTGCTCTGCAGCAAGCCTGACTCAGAGATGTTGGCTACGGAACACTGAAGCGTTGCTGAAGTGGCAGGCAACTGGAAGCTCAGGTTCATTTCTGCAGATAGAATGTAGGTGTTCTGCAAAGCAGTCTCCCAGTCTGTATTTTGTCTCCCCAGTGTTGAGGAGACCACATTGTGAGCAGCGAATACTGGAGATTCGATTCAGTGAAGTGCAACTAAATCACTGCTTCACTTGTAATGTGTGTCTGGGGCTTGGATAGTCAGGGAGGAAGTAAACAGGCAGATGTTACACCTACTGCAATTGCAGAGGAAGGTGCAGTAGGGTGTAGGAAGGTGTTGGAAGTGGGGGAGGAGATGACGACAGTGTTGTGGAGGGAACCGTCCCTGCGGGAGGCTGACAGGGGAGGGGAGGGGAATGTCTGTCTTGTGGTGTAATCCCACTGGAGATGGCGCATTTGGCAGCCAATGACTCTTTGGATGGAGGCTGGTAAGGTGGTCATAGAAGACCAGGGGGACACTACTGCTGTTGTTGGAGGGTTGGGAAGGACTGAGGGCTGAAATGCGGGAAATGGGTCAAACCTGGCTGGGAAATCCTCAGTTAGGGAAGAAGGTGGACGTTTCAGATGTCCCCTTGTCGAAGTTGGTATCATCAGAACAGATGCAATGAAGCCAGAGAAGCTGGGAGAATGGAACAGAGTCTTTACAGGAAGCAGGGTGTGAGGGTGTATAGTCTGGCTAACTGTGGGAGTCGGTGGGTATTTAGTGAATATCGGTGGCCAGCCTATCATCAGATATGGAAACAAAAATGTCGAGAAATGGAAGGGAGGAGTCAGTGATGGACCAGGTGAAGGTGAGAAAAGGATGGAAATTGTAAGGAAAACGTTTCCATTTCTGGACAAAGAGAGGGAAGCAGCAATGATGATGTCATTGATAAACTGCAGACAGTTGTGGGTGGGGCCTGGAGTAGAACTAGAAATGTACTCCACAAGACAGGCATAACTCGGGCACATTCGGGGTACCCATGGCCACACGTTTCACCTGAAGAAAGTGAGAGGAGTTAAAGAGAAAAGTTGTTCAAAGTGAGGATGAATTTGGCCAGGTGGAGGAATATAGTGGTGGATGGGAAGGTTCATGCCCTTTCCCCCCAGGAAGAAGCAAACAGCCCTGACACCATCATGCCAGCTGGTCCATTTAGGAGTACAGTCAATGACCTTGGGAAATCCATCAATGATGGAAAACCTCGATGCCCTCTTTTCTTGTGTTGGCCCATCTTTCTGAAAATGGATGCACTTCCCAACCCTGCAGAATGTGGTGCCCATAACCTCCTTGATGTCATGATGAGGTGCCAACTAAGAGCTACCCCTGAGTCCTTAGCTGGTTCCAAGAATGACCCTGGCACATAAAGTCAGCAGCTTGGTGACATTGAGAGCAGAGGCAGGGACATCCATGATGTCCAGGAGACATCATTTCCTCATGGTCAAGAGCATAGATGTGAGAGACACATGGACAAACAGTTCCGGTGCCTGTCCATTTGAATGTAGTTGACTCTGCAGTGGTTCACCTGGTGTCTTGGGTAGTCCTGTCTTTACCTTGTAGTCCCTCATTATGCTCTTCTCACCTCTTTCTGACCAGGAGAATGCATCTCTCAAAGCTTCTTCGTGATATTCATTCACCATGGCTTACAACATTTGCAGTGCCTCGAGTCTCGCTTTCCTAAGAACCGCATTGTGTTCAGGTTTCAGGTTCCAGTGACACGTTATGGGAATACGATTTCAAATGCGTGCCATCCCATTTGCAAATGAAAATCCAACCCTGGGACTCTAACGTGGGGAAGCAGCTCATTCATTATAAAATAGTGGGTCCTGTCTGTGACCAATGGTGTCACAACACTATATAACACTTATGGGCTTTGAGTCTCTTAGTATGATGTATCCGGTACTGTGGGCTGCTTGAAAGACTCGCTGGTTTTATTTTCTGGTTGGGTTTTTTGCACATTCTATGCTGACACCATTCAGAAAATTATGTTTGACCATTACTTCATATACCAGACCCCCAAGGCTAATTGAATTTGATACGTTTATAGTTTTGTCACAAAAGAATCCGATTTCAGTAACTATTAGTGATGTGATTAGAAATAATATATCTGGAATTTGAATTTGGCATCAATAATGGTGACCATGAAGTTATTGCTGGTAAAAAAAAATTATATTAGTTCACCAATAGAGCAGGAAATCTGCCATCTTTACCTGGTGTGGCCTACCCTGTGCGACTCCACACCCAGTGCAATATGATTGACTCCTAACTGCTCTAGGAATTGACTACTGGGCCACTTAGCTCAAGAGAAATCAGGAATGGACAACAAATGCTGGCTTTAGCAGCATTACCAACCTCTTCATAAAAAAATTGACAGAAGCTGAAATTGCACTACATCAGTCATCCAGTCCTATGCCACAATGGGCTTAGAGTAGATTGGGCTGAGTTCTGAAAGAAAATCTGTCCTGATTAAGATCTCAGGTATTCATCAGAAATGACTACAAACAGTAATGAAAATTCTCAAGTGTGTTCGTCTCATTTTCTTACCTGCCCTTTTTAATGGTTTCTCGACCCAATAAAGGAGCCAGCACAGGATCGACTGATTCTTCCAAACTTTCAATTAGCACTGCTTCACCTGCCCCAAGAGCATTCTCCACAATGTCTAAGTACCTTAAAATAAAATGAAAAAGAAATACATTCAACTGTCTCATATTCTTCTTCATTTACCATGATTGTTATAGTCATGTATGTTTTTGTCCAATGTGTGCAGGAGGGTTTCCTGACACAGTATGTAGATAGGCCAACAAGAGGCGAGGCCACATTGGATTTGGTACTGGGTAATGAACCAGGCCAGGTGTTAGATTTGGAGGTAGGTGAGCACTTTGGTGATAGTGACCACAATTCGGTTACGTTTACTTCAGCGATAGAAAGGGATAGGTATATACCGCAGGGCAAGAGCTATTGCTGGGGGAAAGGCAATTATGAGGCGATTAGGCAAGATTTAGGATGCATAGGATGGAGAAGGAAACTGCAGGGGCTGGGCACAATTGAAATCTGGAGCTTGTTCAAAGAACAGCTACTGCGTGTCCTTGAGAAGTATGTACCTGTCAGGCAGGGAGGAAGTGGTCGAGCGAGGGAACCATGGTTTACTAAAGAAGTTGAATCTCTTGTCAAGAGGAAGAAGGAGGCTTATGTAGAAATGAGGAGTGAAGGCACAGTTAGGGCGTTTGAGAGTTACAAGTTAGCCAGGAAGGACCTAAAGAGGGAGCTAAGAAGAACCAGGAGGGGACGTAAGAAGTCTTTAGCAGGTAGGATCAAGGAAAACCCTAAAGCTTTCTATAGGTATGTCAGGAATAAAAGAACGACTAGAGTAAGATTAGGGCCAGTCAAGGACAGTAGTGGGAAGTTGTGCGTGGAGTCCGAAGAGATAGGAGAGGCGCTAAATGAATATTTTTTGTCAGTATTCACACAGGAAAAAGACAATGTTGTCGAGGAGAATACTGAGATACAGGCTATTAGACTAGATGGGATTGAGGTTCATAAGGAGGAGGTGTTAGCAATTCTGGAAAGTGTGAAAATAGATAAGTCCCCTGGGCTGGATGGGATTTATCCTAGGATTCTCTGGGAAGCTAGGGAGGAGATTGCAGAGCCTTTGGCTTTGATCTTTATGTCATCATTGTCTACAGGAATAGTGCCAGAAGACTGGAGACTAGCAAATGTTGTCCCCTTGTTCAAGAAGGGGAGTAGAGACAACCCTGGTAATTATAGACCAGTGAGCCTTACTTCGGTTGTGGGTAAAGTGTTGGAAAGGATTATAAGAGATAGGATTTATAAACATCTAGAAAGGAATAATTTGATTGGGGATAGTCAACACGGTTTTGTGAAGGGTGGGTCGTGCCTCACAAACCTTATTGAGTTCTTTGAGAAGGTGACCAAACAGGTGGATGAGGGTAAAGCGGTTGATGTGGTGTATATGGATTTCAGTAAAGCGTTTGATAAGGTTCCCCATGGTAGGCTATTGCAGAAAATACAGAGGCATGGGATTGAGGGTGACTTAGCGGTTTGGATCAGAAATTGGCTAGCTGTAAGAAGACAGAGGGTGGTGGTTGATGGGAAATGTTCATTCTGGAGTTCAGTTACTAGTTGGTGTACCGCAAGGATCTGTTTTGGGGCCACTGCTGTTTGTCATTTTTATAAATGACCTGGATGAGGGCGTAGAAGGATGGGTTAGTAAATTTGCGGATGACACTAAAGTCGGTGGAGTTGTGGATAGTGCGGAAGGATGTTGCAGTTTACAGAGGGACATAGATAAGCTGCAGAGCTGGGCTGAGAGGTGGCAAATGGAGCTTAATGCGGAAAAGTGTGAGGTGTTTCACTTTGGAAGGAGTAACAGGAATACAGAGTACTGGGCTAATGGTAAGATTCTTGGTAGTGTGGATGAGCAGAAAGATCTCGGTGTCCGTGTGCATAGATCACTGAAAGTTGCCACCCAGGTTGATAGCGTTGTTAAGAAGGTGAACGGTGTGTTAGGTTTTATTGGTAGAAGGATTGAGTTTCGGAGCCATGAGGTCATGTTGCAGCTGTACAAAACTCTGGTGTGGCCGCATTTGGAGTATCGTGTACGGTTCTGGTCGCCGCATTATAGGAAGGATGTGGAAGCATTGGAAAGGGTGCAGAGGAGATTTACCAGGATGTTGCCTGGGTTGGAGGGAAGGTCTTATGAGGAAAGGCTGAGGGACTTGAGGCTGTTTTCGTTAGAGAGAAGAAGGTTAAGAGGTGACTTAATAGAGACATACAAGATGATCAGAGGATTAGATAGGGTGGACAGTGAGAGCCTTTTTCCTTGGATGGTGATGGCTAGCATGAGGGGATATAGCTTTAAATTGAGGGGTGATAGATGTAGGACAGATGTCAGAGGTAGGTTCTTTACTCAGAGAGTAGTAAGGGCGTGGAATGCCCTGCCTGCAACAGTAGTAGACTCGCCCACTTTAAGGGCATTTAAATGGTCATTGGATAAACATATGGATGATAATGGAATAGTGTAGGTTAGATGGGCTTCAGATTGGTTTCACAGGTCGGTGCAACATCGAGGGCCGAAGGGCCTGTACTGCGCTGTAATGTTCTATGCTCTATGTACAATGATTTATTAATGTGCTAACACAGAGTCACTGTGTATTCATTATTGTTGAAAATAGATAACCGCCTTTGCCAGGAGGCCTTTCAAAACTAAAATCGTCTTAACATTATCCTCAGAAACAGCTCAATGAACTCATTTCAAAATGAGTGATTTAAAGCAGAATTACTCGCAAAAGCAACCAAGCTGGACAACTGATGCATTCTCTGACCTTTGCATTGTAAGTGCGCTGCAAATGTCACATAAAACCTGCTCAAATTCTAAATTACAAGGGAAAAAAGTGCAGCAACGACTGAAGAGTTAGAATCTAGTTGTTCACAGCGATGTACACTATAATACGTATTTGCTTCATTTCTATTAAATTAAATGCTAAATGTTCCAGTTTGTACCATTTTATTTTGTACAAGATGACTTACATTTTATATGAATCATTCCTTTAAAGGTCAATTTATAAAACATATGTTTGAATGCCAGTGGATAGACTTGTAACTCATAACGCAAATGCTCAATTCGTGCACTTAGGAATTAGAAAGAAATACTTACCAGTACTTTCTCAATCACTAACCTAAAAATATTAATTCACTGAACATCTAGAGCTTTTTGAGGGACAGAGTTCTGGATTCCAAAGGCTCTTTCCAAGAAAAGATTGTATCTTGATTTCAAGTCTAAGTGGTCTAACTCTAATGATAATATTTTATTATCATGGTCTAGATTCTTCAACACGGAAAATAGTTTTTCTGTATCAAACAGAGACAAATTCCTATGTCTTTCCAAGGCTCTATGCTGTTTGTATGTTGCAGTGCCGACCACTGTGAAGGTTCTGGTTGGGTAGAATGTTGCCACCCAATTCCCCTTCCTAGATATTTTCTCCACCAATCTGTTCAGAGATGACACATATGAAGCAAGAGGGATTTGAACATAGGCCTGCTAACCCAACGTCTATGGACAGTACCGCTGCAACACAACAGCCCTCCAACTCCCCTTCCTAAAAATATTATTAATCAACCTGTTCAGACACATTACTGCACACCTCTAGAGCAGGCAGGACTGGAGGCAGGGACACTACCACTGCACCACAAGAGCCGTGTAATTGTGTCTCTTAAGAAATAATCAATCAACCTGTTCAGATGTATTATGACATCCCTCAGAGCAGGTTGGACTTGAACTCAGGACTTCCAACCCAGAGGTAGGGACACTACCATTAGACCACAGGAGTCCTCAATTTGCCTTCCTGTGCTAACTGTAAGGGCTTATTTAATTAGCAGTGGTGGAGGATAAAGACTTGATGAAGAGGCATTTGGCTTACTCTATAAGATACAGTTTACTGCACAATTGCAATTGGTACAAGTTATATTGCCTGTGAGGCATAATTATAAAGACCATTAGAAGCCAGAGATGACACATCGATTGACATCATGCTAGACTGCTTTTTCTCCAACAGAAAACCATACGATATCATAAGATTGCAAGCTCTTTCAGAACCATTACCTTACACAACATTGATTAGAGCACACCTCATTCATCTCTACTCAATAACAGAAACTGTCAAATGAATAGGCAGAGTAACAGAACAGTGAAAGGTGTTCAAATGCAAAATCATTAGCTTTTCTTAGCTGGACTGATAGTTTGCAACTTCTGGGGAAGAAATGGACTACATGCCCATCTTGCCATGATAAAAATAATGAGGCATGATCAGCGTTCCAAAATGGTTTCAACAACTGCATCACTGATGGAATGATTGAGAAGCCACAAAGGAGGAAGAGTTAGGTGTGAATATGCATTGTCTGACCTAAAATGTCACCTCTTCTTTACACTGTTAAAAACTTTAGTTGTCTCAGGACAGTGACTTGTAAAGAATTTGGGGATTTACATATACATATTAGTCAATTAAAACCTTCTAACTGATTGAAGATTTAACAGCATCTCAGGTTTGTTTAATACATCCTGATCAGTGGTGTGACCCTTTGATCTTTACTTACAAATTCTGTGTCTGATACTACCTCTCTCACTAACACCTGAAGGAGGAGTGAGGCTCCGAAAGCTTGTGTTTTCAAATAAACCTGTTGGACTATAACCTGGTGTTGTGTGATTTCTGAACTCCAGTACATTCAATCATATTTATTAAAATATTCTTAGGTTGATTTACAGTACTACAGAAAGTTCACATGTTTTAAACATTTGAGGTGAACAGGAGGGGAATGCTTGAAAAAAAAGATTTTAAGCAAAGCACAGCATCTGGAACCCTGCATAAGGAAGACCCATTGTGACAGATGCACAATATCAAAATGTGGACTGACCTCTCTATGGCAGTGAAGGTAGTGGAGAGTAGCACTTAAGAGGAGAAAGTTTACAGAGTGTGCTCAGCCCTCATAATCAGAATGAGTGAAAGACAGACCAGAGTCTGAAGTATTAAAAAAGAAACAAAGAAACAATCAGTGACAAAGTTGATATTAGCACATAAATATAATCATGAGTAAGGATAATTTTGAAGGCAACAATCTCCTTTCGATGATACGAGGGCAAATCCAGACCTCAT